ATGGCAAGACACAGGATAATCAGGGCCCAGGGGCTCCTGACTCCTCTACCTAGCTGCAGGAAGCTTTCTTTAACCCTTGCTTTGGGGAGAGCTTATAACTCCTCTTCTGCTCCAGACTTGGCAAGAGCTGTGGGTGTTCTTGACCCCAGGGCAGAGGGGTAATAGCTTGTGCTTTCACAAGAGGGGGAGTTAGCTGGGTATGCGCTCCAAGCCAGGGGCAGAAAAATCAACTTTCTGCATGCCAGGGAAGAGCAGCTTCCTGTTCGCAGCACTGGGGAATTCTCGATGAAATGAGCAAGGGCAGGAAAATCCGCCTGAGAAGATTTCTGGCATATGAAACCTGAACATGTCTGGAAAAGCCCAGACAGGAGGGAAAATACAAGGTGTGCAAGACCTTGCTTACATTACTCTGGGCCAAACATGGTGTCATTGCGTGGAGGCCGAAATGACAGAAACTGCAGAAATGTGCCCGATGTTATGCAGTTTCCTTTACGGCTCTGGCAGAATTCCCCGCTCCCTGCAGCAGTAGCCTTGAAACCAGAGAAAACATTAGGCCCTGTCCACTTGCCTTCCTATTCAAACCATCCTGTAAGTCTGAAACAAAAAGCCCTTGAAAACAGCTTAGCAACTGCCCACTGAGTGTTTTGATTGTGGAAATACAAATCAAAAGTCTTTGTTGCCAGCATGTTAGGCATTTCACTGAAAATGATGTTTTCAGGGGATGTTGGAGTAGCCTCCGAAAACACTTATCTGAGCTTTTCCTTGGAAAGGGAGCAGTTGGGGATTTCCTCAGCTGACATCTCGAGCGCCCCGCAGCAGAGAGCCCTTGTGCTGGGAGAGAGCCATGCCCTCCGGTCGTAAGCTCGTTCCCTCTTCTGGGGAATACGTGCTCGTTTTCTCTCTGCACACGAGGTGCCGTGGCTGTGTTTTCCGCAGCTCCAGCGGCAATAGCCGGTTGGAAGAGGAACTGCTGGGAGCAAAACCTCTGCTGACTTCGGCGGTCCAACTGACTTGAGACTTGGGGGCTCACGGAAGTTGCATTCTCCTAAAAACACTCACTCCTCTTCCCTCTGCCCATCAAAATACACACATAACGGCTTTCTCCGGATCCACACTGGTTGGTATTAACAGCTCTTGGGTGCGATAGCGGGGTGAGTTTGGTGTGCAAGCTTCTGTACGAGTTTGCTCTTCAGACTGTGGAAGGCTGCCTGGCAGCGGGAGGCAGTGCCGCAGCCATACGGTGATCCCTGTCAGGAGGATGTTCGTACGATGTCACGTCAAATGCAGTTCCAGCCCTGCTTCACTGCTTCGACACGTTCATTCTCATCCTGCAAAAATGCCACATATGACTAGGAGTATTGTTTTAAAATATTCTGCCTTATTAAGGCTGTAGTGGCTGATTTTTCAATATCCCGCTGATCTATAGTAGCAATCAGGAAAGTGAAGTGGTGCTAGAAGCCTTGTAAAGACAGCTAACCCTGCAGTGCATTGAAGGGATCCAAGTGGCACCTCAGGATTCATTACCATTCCCGTTCCCTACCCAACTAAGCAATCAGTTTTGGAGAGACACAAATAAGGACAATTCTTTCTGTCCAAACTGAGGTAATTAGTGACAGAAACAGAGAAGTGGGGAGAGTTAGCATTGTGAAGCATGGGGTGTTGACGAAGGTACTGAGCATTTGCTGGCCAGCCTGCAAGGTACAGCTCTGAGGTCTCTCGTCTGCTACTAAAATAGAAGGTGCAGCACTCCGGGGAAAACCTGACATGCTCTTTGCATCTAATAGTCATTAACCAAGTGTATATTCATCTCCCATTTCCCAGACTAAAACAAGGTATTTACTGTGCCTTCACTGTTGCTGCTACGTCTGTCTACTCACGTGTTCCTTGTTCTATGAAATGCCTCTTGGAGTAAAGATATTTAGAGGGGCATGTTTTAAATTGGGAACAGTAAGTGTAAAAGTAGATACCTATGTGTTGTTTTTGTAAGATTTCAGGACATTTTAGCACACGCAGTCAAACCACCCATTGCTTTCCCTGAGATTAAGGTGGGAGTAGGCAGTAACTAGTGCTGTTTTCACCGATTTCAGGACATCAGGAAAAGCCAAAAGAACCATGTGGATCTTGTCAGCTCAGTCTTCTACTGGTATGAATGTAAATTTGAGGCATCTATAGATTTGAAGCGTTACCTGCTGTTACCTGTTTGGCTAGGTGGTTCAGAACTTGCATCTGAAAGTTGTTTAGCTAGCCTGTGGGGGCCCAGGGTGCTTACGGCTCCGCTGGCTCCCTATCCTTGGCAAGCTGCACGACGAGGATGTTTAGTCGACATTCAGGCTGAGCATGAGGGGTTGAAAGGTGTGAGCACAAAAACAGACAGAAGGTGATATAGTAGTTTTATGGGGTAACAGTCACCGTAGCAACCAAAATTTACCATCCATGACAAGTTCCTCCGGGTCTTCCCACTGTGTTTCTTTTCCACGCAGCTTTTGTTACAGCAGGTGTGTTAAGGACTTCAGCTGCCGTGGTAAACTGTGGCTCTGCGGGGTTCTTTTCCCGTGGGACTGTGTGCGCTGTTTTCACAGATGTACCTTGTCGTGCACGTAGTGTTAAATCAGCCTCATGTGATTTTTAGTTTTCTCTCCCCATCCGCATACTGCGCAGGTTTATTCCACTGGACTTGCTGTTCACGCAAGGTCGCAGTGCTGGGCACGGTGCTACTGAGCCTTCCCAACAGCTTTTGGCTGTCACATCCTTTGCAGCAGGCAATCACCAAATTTACCCTACTCTGTTCTGTCAGTCACTGGTAGCATGCATACATTAGATAACGGGTCTGGCCTCTGCCAGGCCTGATCTTTTCTTATTTGTCTTCTACTGCAAGTAAAAACTGGATTATTTTTTTTTTTTTGTTCCCGTTTTCTTTGTAGAACACAGATTTTGACCGCAGACTGTGCTGAGTCTTTCTGACTCCTAAGATAGGATGTAAAAAATAAAATTCATACTTGGGGTGGTGGCAGTGAGCTCTTAACCGTTAGGGAAAAAGATTGTGTCATTCCAAAACTGAGAGTATGTTACTTCAGTGGAAGGACGTGTAAAGAATACTGATGATTCTTCATCAACAAGGCCCCTCTTATGTCTTTTTTAATTTGGCCAGTAAACCTGCGTCTGCAGCGCGTCGGGGCAGACTGCTAACTTGGAATATTCCCCCGGCTGACTTTCTGAAAGCCCTTCTGTTGCTGGGGCCCGGCACAAACGCGCCCCCAGTGCTGCCCTCGCCTCTGGTTGTAAAACGCTGCCCTTACCAGGCCGGCCTGGGAACTGCAGGCTGCTGAGCTGGGTTTCGAGGGGCATCCCCCTGGCCCATCCAGAGCTGGGGAACCTTGCACAAACCTGGGGGTGCTCGTTCCCAGGGGGCTCGGCGGGCTTTTGCGGGAGTCAGTGGCAGTCTTGTCACTGAGGTGCAATCCAGCTTACTCATATAGCAGCGCTGCAGCAAAAACAGGAGAGAAAGGCAAAGCGCTGCAAAGCGGTTCTAGGCAGCAAAGCACGGGCAAATTTCTCCATACGTGCAAAGTTCCCAAGCCTAAGGTTCAACGCTGCAAAATCTAACTTTTCCCCCAGTTTAGCCCAGCTCTGTGACATTCTTATGCCTCTTCTTATTTTCAAATCTGGTATTTCTCTCTGGGCTGTCTGTGCTACGAGGATGGCTCACGAAGAAGGCACCCTTGCACAAGAGGTGGGACAGTCCCTTGCCTGTACGGGAGCAGGCTGGTGGCAGTCATCGGCTCTGCAGTGGGCAGCTCCCTGGGAAGAAGCGCCTGCCTCACACCATGCTGGGAAATGCTTTTTAACGCCAGCTTGGACCCCAAGCTGCAGTGCTTACTCCTCCCCAGAACAAGTTCTTGTCTTGTTCACTTTTTCTTTCCCTCAGAGAGACACTTGTAACGCAAAAACGTTATAAGGTACCTTACTTCCACTTTGGCAGGCTTCATGTAATTAGTTTTTGGTTCACAACTGGTAAGTAGGTATTGGTAACTTTATCAGCATTTTAAACCTCACTACTGTGGCTTCTTCAGAAGTAAAATAGTACCTCGTAGAAGAAAATGCCTGTGCTCTCACTTCTGTATTTCTTGCTTGCCCTTTTCTGTCTGTGCTTCCCTCTCTTGTTCTTAACCTTTTCTGTTTCCCACTGCCATGTGGGCTGAGCTCGCTGGCACATAAAAATACTTAGCGAGCTACTGCAATACAGCCTGTAGCATAAATTACTTGGGTAAATTTGAGGCAGTAACTGAAATAAAAGGAATTGCTCTGAGGGTGGTGAGGTACTGGGACAGGTTGCCCAGGGAAGCTGTGGATGTCCCATCCCTGGAAGTGTTCAGGGCCTGGTTGAGCAGGGCTTTGAGCACCCTGGTCTAGTTGAAGGTGTCCCTGCCCATGGCAGGGGGGCTGGACTTTGGTCTTTGGGGCTGGACAGGTCTTTGAAGGTCCCTTCCAACCCAAACCATTCTATGATTCTGTAGTAATTTCTAAGTAAAAAGAAATTTGTTCAGTAAATTATCTGTAACAGCAATCCTGGTATGCTATTTTTAATTAAAATTCCTATATAATTACCATGATGTTTGACTTCCCTTGGTAGTTTCCTTTGCTATCTCATTCAAGACACGGTAGGTGGCATGTGCCAGGTACCCTTATGTTTGTATATATCTTTGGTGGCTATATATGTGGTTATTTCTTAGTGTAATTTGATACATACAAGACTCTGATCCACCAGAGAAGTTTGTTTTCTCTTCTGTCTGCTGTATCTCTGATCCTATATTCTAAACCACTGAATGTTATAAAAATCAATCTGTGGAAATATTTAATGTAAGAAATACCATGTGGAGTAGTAGTAAGGAAAATATTTTCAGCCTGCCAGCCCAGCACAGGACAACCATTCAGGCACTTGCAAGGTCAAGAGTTATTTCTGTTTTGAAAATAGTTTTTTCCCTCCTTTTCTCCTGATCCAGGGAGAAGAAACTGAAAGCTAGAGTGCAAGAGTTAGTGAGTGCTTTGGAGAGACTCACAAAGAGCAGTGAAATCAGACATCAGCAGTCTGCAGAGTTTGTTAATGACCTTAAAAGGGCAAACAGGTAAAGGATCTACCAGCAGATGGATACACCGTTGATTTTTTTTGTGGTGTTCTGGAAATGCACTGTAATCCTCCCCCTACCTTAATGCACGGTTCCTGTGTCCTTGCATCCGCAGGAGTTGACTCTTTAAGGTTATAGTCAGGGATGGGGGAGGTATAAACCTCCCATGTAGGACACTGAAAATGACATAGCCAAGAACAGAGCGGGGAAAATCTTAACTGAGTCACTGGAAAATGCATTAGTATTAAAGCAAACAAACCCCTCTGTTTAGTCAGGTTTACAAATCTGTTATTTTGTTTAAGATTGTTCCCTTTTCTTTGGCTCCAGCCTCTTTATTAATAAACTGGCTTCAATAATTGCACTTAAATCTTACTGCTCACTCAGTAGATTTCACTGGCACTGTGCTTGGATGGACAGTAGCTGCCCTTCCTGCAAGGACCCTATTGCTCATCAGTTTTCATTAATAAATTACACTTGAAGGTGCTTGTGGTGAGGAGCAGTACCCATCTCAAGCTTTCCTACTGAGTCAAGGTGGAGGCACGGAAGATCATACTTCACAGCTGACAAATTAGCACAAGGTGCCATCCTTTGAATATAACACTCTATTTTTTTAAAATGGAAAATGCAAAATCGGTGCTGGGTTTTGCAAGCAGATTCTGGCCATGCAATGTTTTTGTAAGTCATTACGTTTAATGTGGTGGTGTCCTGACTCACAGACAGTGCTCTGCGAGGTCATCATCAGCAACCTCCACCTGGTTCTTTGAACCATGTTTTAAAACGCTTTCAGTAACCAGTTTACTGGTAAAGGTGTGTACTTGCCCCAAGAAAAAGATACAGAGATTAGCACTGATCTGGGTTTGGAGCTAATGCAATTTAGAGTACTAGTACATTTTTGGAAGATGCTCAGTACCCAAACTTCGGAGTTCCCTGAAGGTGGGGTTTTGGGGTGGACTTCTGTAGCACTTGCTATAAAGAGGCCTTTTTGAATGACCTTGTATTGCCTTGTATTTCTAACAGCAACTTGGTAGCAGCTTATGAAAAGGCAAAGAAAAAGCATCAGAATAAGCTGAAGAAACTGGAATCGCAAATGATGGCCATGGTGGAGAGACATGAAACCCAAGTAAGGATGCTCAAACAAAGAATAGCTTTACTAGAAGAAGAGAACTCTAGACCGCACACCAATGAAACTTCACTTTAAATGCGTCTCTTCTAAAGATGCTTAGTGCCATCACAAATTTCTTTCTTTTGGAAGCTCTTAGGTAGCTTCAAATGCTTACAGCTCTGACTGTCAATGCTGACACACTTAAGCACCTTCTCTGGAACCCCAGAGAGGTGCCAATGGGGATAATATGTGTTAACCTTAAGGACTGTTTCATAATGTAAAATGGCAGTGCCTGAATTATCATGCTATAATTATGTATGTTGTCTGTGTCATTATGTCTATATTCATACAGCTTCTCTTCCATTTTATCTATGTCACATGGGTGACAGTGTCACATAGCAAAGTAATTCATGTTAAGAGGTTTTAATTAATTTGGGCAGTTTGGAGATAATTTGAGAGTTTTCCCAATCCCTGCACACAACTCTGTATTATACCCTCAAGACTCGCTGCTGTGGTTAAACCAAATAGGCAGCTGCAGTGGGGAGACGATAGGCTGGCTTGCGGGTTTTTTAGCACGATACTTGCAGTACTGTCACTTACTGTGCAGATCAGGTAGGAAAACTGTTGATTTGGGGAAAAAAAAACCAACACCCACCACCAAACAATCCAAGAAACTCTAGCTGCATCTCTGAAAACTATGATAGTGGTGTATTTCTTACAGTTTGTAAGAGGACTAAAGACTGTGAGTTTCACCATGCCAGTCTGTGCCAATGTTGGGTAACAAATTATAGGAGACCTCCTGGTATTTACATTGCATGGTGTTTGCAGCTATTTCGTGAAACAGTTGGTTTTTCTTGTTAATGCATTATAGCCAAGGTTTTCTTGAAGAAGCTGTGCCATTTTTGTCATGTGTTTAGTGCTTATTACAGCTTTCTATGATCAAGAGGTAGAATGTCCTTTTTATACTTGTTTTGACCAAAAAAGGTACTTATTAGGAATGTACCTGTTTAATATTGAATACATAGGCACAAAACTATAAATGTGTAGGTGTATGGATATACAGCCACAAACAGAATGTGAATGGTGAAGTCTTCATACAGCTGCTTAGGTTAGTTTTTGTTACTGCTAACATTCTCTTCTTTTGCTTAAGCTGCATCACGTTACTGTATTATCAAACTGACTGAACTGAAAATGTTGGCCTATTAATGGTAATGAACATGAAGCAAAACGTGGCAATCAGGCTGCTTTCTCTAGGGAGCAAAATACAGGAGTCTGCTGTAGCTCCTCTTTTGTTCAGAATTTGCTTCTTTTTGAGTATGTAAAACAGCGTCCATGTTTATTTTAACATGCCAAACCAGAGTCTATTAACTTTGTTAGCCTGTTGCCCTGTTACACCTCTACTTACTATTTTTCAGGCTCTGTTTTCAAGTGAATGTGATTTCAGGAGTTGTCTATCCTTTTTGCATTACATGTTGGGTTGCACCTCAAATTTTACTAGTGTATTTAGAATTATGATAACTTCTCTCATTTATTCCTCCAATTTCTAGTACTAAGAAAATATTTTTAGAGGACTTGAACCATTTTTGTCTACAGCAGCCAGAATAGTTATGGGGATTTTTGTTCAGAATATGGCATTATTGTTAAGTCTTGGTTACATGTGAAACCGTAGCAGCCGGTGTTCATGACACCTCCCATCACTGTAGCTGCTGTTCTCCTTCCTTAGGGTGGTGATTCCTACTTCTCTAGAGTCTGATACACCAGCTACAAAGCCAACATCATAGGTGATTGATTGCAATAGCAAGCTAATACAATGGTGATTTCAAAATGAAGTCGTAGGTAGTGATAGCCTGGGATTGGTTTTGATCACTCCTTTCTCCAGGTAACTGCACTTCTTAATTTATAGTGCAAATGGAAATTTTCGCAAACCAGTCTGCTGAGGGAGCAGGCATGTTGATTTCTTACCATCTTTACGGTTTTGTGAAGTACCTGCCTATGACGACGTACCTGTCTATGGCATCTCCCTTTTTTGGCCAACAAGTTTCGCACCAACAGGAATATGGGGTTTTGCCGTAAGCTTCAGCAGTAGCTGATCGTGTTTGTCTCTGAAGAAACACAAAGAAAATTATCCACTGTGTACTGTGGCAAAAATGCAGCTACACTTTTGTCTTCTTGCATCTGAAAACACCCATGTAACTTGAGGTCATCTCAAACTGTCCATGTGAAATACCTTTCACTTAAGGTGACTAGAAACCACTGCTGCACCGGATTTCCTCTTATGCTCAATTTTTTCTGTTTCTTGGTTGCTAGCGGAGCTGTTAAACATAATACAATGAAGCTTAAAGCACTTGAATTGAAACCTGTCTGTAAAGACACAAATTAAGCAAGCTTAAAATGGTTTCACCCGGGTTTAAAGGCATAAAAAGCTGCAAGTGTCCATCAGTGCCTTTTTCAGGCTGAACAATTTGCCGATTCTGCATAAACCAAACATTGTTCTACTACATTCACTGTGTATCTTCCCTACCAACTGTGCTCTAACAGTGGTTTAGAACAGATTATAAATCATCAGTGAATGTAAGCCACTCCCCCTTTCCTCTCATAGGGGGGCTTACAGATGAAAAAGCAAGACGGCTATGGTACAGCCTCAGCAGTAGCTACGGTTTGCCAGACCACCAGTTATTTTTGCCTAAGCAAGCAGCTCCTGCTTCATTTGCTGGCATACTGGAAAAGGCCAGTGGGGAAGTGGTGAAAGGTTTACTGCCATTGTGAAAACTGTTTAATGTTCACAACTGGCTGCAGTTCCAGTGTACCTGTTAGAAACAGCACCAACCCTGAGACTAAATGCCAAAAAACTTAACTCCTTTTAGTTGGCTGTTTGAAATACCAGCACACCAGCCTATAGACGAGTGTGCAAATCACCTTAAGTCACAGCAACCTAACTCACTTAACGTTTTTTGCAGAAGTAGTATGTTTGCAAAGCAAGAAAAATAGGTTGTTCTTGCCAGCAGAACCTGAGTTGTTCACTCGTTAATTAATTTTAAGAGTGTTTTTTTGATTTTCTAAGTCACCGAGGTGCATGAAACTTTGTATTTCACAGAGTGTTCAGGAAAAAAAGTACTTTTTTTCTAATTAAATGTAGAAATCTTCACCAGCTTGAATGTACTGTTAGCTGTTGCAAAGCACATGTGACTAAGTTTGCATTAATGTCAGTATTGTTCTACTGGTTTTATTAGGATTTTTTTCCTCCTGTAATTTTAGAAACTTTTCACCTTACTGAATTAGCTTTAAATGTGTTGTGCTTTTTAGTTTCCTAGCTGCTGTAAAATAGCTATTTTGTGTTTATTTGATATAGAATTGTAAAAACTGCATTTATTTATACAGAGACATTTATAATACTTATTTTACAAATGTTCTTATATTCTGAATAAATTTCTAATGCTGTTTCTTTGCCTCTGGGGTTGCTTTGCCATACCATGTCATCTTACTGTTGAATGGGTCTGCTTAAAGGTACCACCACTTATCTCCTCCAAGGTAAGTTATTGAGGGAGATGGTATGACACTTGTCAGGAAAGTCCACGTAACAGGGACATGAGAAGTTGGTAAGAACCCACCAGCTCTCTGATCATGGCTTTTAGCTGAGCTCAGGAACATTAGCACTTGCCACAAGCCTTCTACAGCTTCAGTGAACACTTCATAGAAATGGAAGGGCACATATGAAACCGTTTCCACACATCCAGTTCTTTTAATAACAAGTTATATGGACTGAAAAAAAAGGCTATTTCATAAATACTTTAAAAGCACTGATTGAAGTTCAGGTACTTCCTTTCTCCAGTACATCTAACACCTTTTAAAAAGATTTTTCTGCTTTCCACTGTGTCTGATGGGCCCCTCATCCACCTTTACAATTGAGTTTAAAAATAATACTTCTTTTTCTAGCACTATATATATATAATCAGTGCTGCTGATTGGCTTAAGGCAACATTTAAACATTCTACAGTGAAAGAATAACCTGCACCAGCAGCACAGGCTTTACATTTCACACTGATCAGCAATGCTTATATTCATACTTTAGCACTTCAGTAAGTTTATGTATAAAGTCATTTAATTTTACAGACAAAAATTACAGTGTAGAAGAAAATGTCAATTTAGTCATAGCCTCTTAAATGGTGTGCTTCAGTTTCTGAACAAGTAAATAACAAAATCACAACCATCAGTACAACAGATGTTACAGGTAGTTACAGATTTCATTTACTAAAACTGAAGAGTTGACTAATGCAAACTTTCTTCAGGATAACATAATGGAAATTGAATAAAATCTGTAACTTTACATGGTTTTAACCCCACTAGCTGCATGTACTTTCTACTTAACAAGCACCGATATGCCACTTACATACCAGTGAGGAAAACAGATCAAGTTCTTGAGCTTTAAACAAACAAGAGGAAGACATAACTCTTCATGCATGAGCCATATAATAAAAAACTGGCTCCCTATTTTCTGCGAGGCATGCAATGCTGCACAGAAAAGCGTTCTCTTTGGGCAGCAATACCTGAGTCAGCCTGGGTCCTGGAACATGTACAGCAATCTAGCATTATGCCAAAATTAATGAACAAAGCCCCACCTTCTTCTGTGGAGTCCGTTTTGCTTTTTAATGTTAAAGTGCCTTGCAAACCCAGCTAAACTGCTCCTCAGGGCTGAAGTACAGCTTCCACATGCTGCAGTGCCATGCAGATGTAGTTAAGTTAGTTACTTAAAGATCCCGGTTTAGGTATAGGCTTGAGAAGTAGTTGCTGAGAGCTCTTAATCATGCAGTTTTGCATATTTTTTCCTGCATAACAAAAATATATACCCAACCAGTAAGATATAAATGGTTTGTCTCCCTAGTTTGAGCAAAATTACTAAGCATGCTTAAAAAAATTCGCAAAGTAAGTTTTTCTCACAGTGGGAAGTGTGTTGTAGAGAACTGAGTTTGCAGTCTCCATATTCTTGAAAAGATAAAAATGCCTTGGTTTAAAATGATTAATGCTCCATGAGCTGTAATCATTCTCTTAAAGACACTGAACTGTAACCCACAGTGGAAACTGGAAGCTAGTTCTTCTGATCAATGATATAAATGCTTAAAAATGACAAAATACTCAACAGTGTTTTCAGTAAATTTCATAGCGGGCCTATTCAAATTTAAACATTCTGCACCCTGTGAAATTTTGGTAATTACTTAAAAGCAAGCTTTCTTTTTTTTTTCTGCAAGTATTGAAGGAAAAATTGACACTTTTACCTCCTTCCCAGAAGCATCCCAGAGCTGAGAACAATTTAAAGATAAGGGTAAAACTGATCCTATACAATGTTAAATGTAGCATAACCTAACATTTTCAATGAAAAGACAAATTAAACCCCAAGCATTTAATTTTAATGTACTAATCCAGAATATTTCTTCTTGTATCATTTTGAATATGGCCAATGTAATTCCTACATATGTTGTCTTCCTTATAAGTTCACAATCTACTCGAAACAGTGAAATGCACACACAGCACAAATCCTACTGCATCTGTCAGTGCTTATGTACAGGATTAAGAACAGTGCAAATACTAGCATTTAGCCTACTTTCATTCTTGAACTACACTATTGCTATAAACGCATAAGAACAAAATTCTATTATGCAAGAGTAGTGACGTTTCCAAGCCTAATTTACTGTAAAAGCACCTTCCTTCAGTTAGTTTGTAGAAATTTACCGTATCTTAAATAATTTTGGTTTCTTCAGAAGCTGAAATACTGTAATAACAACAACAATCTGAAATTATGAAGTCATGTATAAGCACCACATTATTTAACATTTACAGTGCAAGACTTAATTTCTATAAATAAACTGATTTTAAATCAACAAGAGAGGCTATTCTACCAGATCTCAATAATTTTGAGCTTCCTAACACACTGAAGAATATAACCTCCTAATTTAAAAGATGAAGGCACCTGACTTTACCTCTGAAAAAAAAAAACGAAACCTGTTGCTCAAAGTTTATAAAAAATAGGTAGCTGAGGATTAAACGGCCCAATGACCCAACAGCTGGACAGCTAGTCACCTATGGAGCAGCAGCACCATCTTGCACCACAGGATATTAGAGCTTGGATTCTTAGACTCTTGCTCTTCATACCAGAATGACATGAGTGCTGCTATAAACTGCAAATCAACAACAGCAACTCTACTACAGAAAGTAAAAGTTGGAAAAAATAACTTCTTATCTGAAACTACAATCTGAGGGCAAGTCTGTTCAGAACAGCCAGACCCACAGCCTGCCTTGTTTTAAAAAGGAACTGCTACATTCGTAACAGCCACAGGTAGGTGGAAGAAAAACACAGTAAATATTGTTCTCAAATCACCAAATTAAATCAGGAAGGTTCCAGCATAGCACAGAAGCCTGGAACAGTGACTAGGCCCAAAATTTTATTAGAAACTATGCAAGTTTGGTCTGGAGAAATTACATTGTGTTAAAAAAATACTTTGACTGTGCAATAAATAAAGCTCTTTCCCCTCTTCTTCCCAGTACCACTGTTCCAGACTTCAAACTATGTAAGACACAGCTACTGTCAAAAGCATGCATGTACGTCAAGGAGTTGAATTTAGTAACATTTCAGCACAGAACATACATCATTCAATTAGGCGGACCACTCTTCAGTCCGAGTTCAAAGTTCTGAGCATTCTGTGAAGGAGAGATGCTAAAAATCTCACACTAAAGCAGGGAGTTTCTGTAGTACTAGAACTGCAAACTAGTTCTAGGTTCCCAGCACCCACACATTTGTGGGTTTTTTTGTTAAATATTTTATTCCACGAGTTCTTCAATTTCAAGAACACTGAATGATCACAATGTGAATAACCTCTTACAGGCAAGCATTCTCAAACTGAGCGATATTTGTTTTTCAAGTATCTGGACATCAGCTCTCAAGTTTGACATGCAGTTACTTGTTTCTCTGTGTCTAGCTCCCATAAAGTAAAAACTCACAGAACTAAATTCTGTATCTCAGTTGTTATTTCTTCACTGTTTTACAGAAGAGAATGTAAACTGTACTTCTAAACTTAGAAATATACTTAATTAAAGGATGGTGAAATAAGAACATAAACAATAGTAAACAATTCAAAATGTTCACAGTGCAGGGCATGATGGAACCCATAAGGTTCCATCTCATGCCACCACACCTACATTATTTTAGAAACCTTACTGAGAAAGCAGAAAGCAATGCTACTACAAGAAACAGTACCCTTATACAAAGAAGTAAGTTATTGCATATTTATCACATTTATTTGCAACTCACATTAAGGCTAGATTTACTAAATCATGACATATGTATAAGCCCCACTTTGGGCTGCTTAATGAAGCAACCAATTTCTCCTACACTGAACTAACGTTTCACTAAGAAAAAGAAAAGAATGACCCAGTGAATATAGAGAGCAGCCAGCATCTCCTATTCATAGGATGCTTCATTCTAAAGACTTCTTTGTCTGGGACTGATTTCCCAAACAGCTGACAGAAGCTCCAAGTTCACTGGTTCATCAACATCCCCTTTATTTCTCATAGCACTAGATGAAACATAACTAAATTATCTGAAAAGTCAACTTACTTATTAAAGATTTCCACAGCCTGATATTTAATCATGCCTTAGGAGAGTCTCATTAACTCCACAGGCAGTAGCAGCCTCAGGATATGAATACAAACTTCTGCCTCACCGTGAGTAAAGGCACTTTTGCTGGGAAATCAACTACTTGCACTAAAGAAGTAACTAAAGGTTAGTTTTCACCTGAAGCTGAATAACATAACCTGCTCCAGCATTATCCCACCTTCTCAACTACTGTTCTTCACCATTTACTGTTTTGCATTGCCTTTGGATACTTTTTTTTTTTTTCCCCCTACGCAAAGTGAGACAAAGCTAGATTGAGCTATTTCACAATTTGGTCTTGAAAGACAAGGCCCTCAGGACTCTTGTCCTCCAGAAGGAGGAAATGCTGCAGCTTGTTTCTCCTGTTAACTGATACAATAGTCCAGCCTTCCTATCACCAAGATTATTACAGCATTAGAGTCCCAAATCACCTGGTACCAGGCAGGTAAATAAACCAGGAGATAGTTCTAAAGCTATTTCTGAGGAAAAGCACTAGGTAACAGATCAAGTAGGGTAGATGAAGTTGGGTGGTTGAAGGAAGACCAGGATTGGAGCACCTCTCCTATGAGGACAGGCTGAGAGAGTTGGGGTTGTTCAGCCTGGAGAAGAGAAGGCTGTGGGGAGACCTGATTACAGCCTTTCAGTACTTAAAGGGAGCCTATAGGAAAGACAGGGAAAATCTTTTTAGTAGGGACAGCTGTGACAGGACAGGGGGTAATGGTTTTAAAGTAAACCAGGGTAGGTTTAGATTGGATATAAGGAAGAAATTCTTTACACTGAGGGTGGTGAAACACTGGAAGGGGTTGCCCAGAGAGGTAGTGGAGGCCCCATCCCTGGAACCATTCCAAGACCAGGTTGGATAGGGCTCTGAGCAACCTTATCTAGTTAGTGGTGTCCCTGCTCACTGCAGGGGATTGGACTAGATGACCTCTAGGGGTCCCTTCCAACCCAAAACATCATATGATTCTATGATTCTACAATTTTGGTTTTGGATGACACGAGTTGCATAAAGACTCCGTGCATGAGCATACACTGTGATGAGACAAGGACATGGTTAATTCAACCTATGAAGTTACCAATTAGTCACCTTTATTTTAGAGGAAAGTCCATTTTTCAATCTGGGACAACATGCTTGCTACCACAAGCTGCTGTGACATTATTTCACTGCATTTCTCTCAGCTGCAAAGCATGTGTTCAAAACCCCTTAAACTTGAATCATGAAGGTGATTTAACAGTTCGCCACCTCAACTCTTACTGGTTTTTTTGATTCCCCCCCACCCCCAAATCTTCGATATTTTCACTAAGAAAGCATTGTAGCTGAAAATGACTGAGGCTACATCATTTAAATGCTAACTGCAAGTGCAATTCAGTACTACTGGATATATACAGAGCATACACTACACAAGAGATCTGAGGACAACAGCACAGAATACAATACTGGATACCCTTAGAATAGTTATTGCAAGCCTGATTAAGCCATTTAGTGTCACACAATGACTCTATTATCCATGCACCTGCCTTCCTCCTCAGCAAGATCTACAAGAGGCTTATTTACATTCAGGATAAATTCTACACAAGTAACCTCTCACTCACAAAGTTGAAGCGTTTCTTTTTTGAAAGCAGCTGCAACTGGGATAACACAAAATTTTGGAACTTCTTACCCAGCTGGGGACAGTGCATATGAGTTGAAGCTGGACACTTTGAATGGCTAAGTCCTACCCAGTTTGTGTATCCTTACCGAAGACAGAAGCAGAGTAGGTACAAGAAGTCAACATGCTAGAGATTTGACTCCAAGTGCTACTGATTGCCAGACAACAGAAGCCAGCAGTACGAAGGAGGGAAAGTATTTTGGGCAAGCAACCAGGACAGAGAAAGGATGACAAGCTGAGGCTAGGTTTGAAATGTGCAACTTGGTTTCAAAATCACTAGGACAGAGGAGTCCTCTGAGAATGAGTTTCATTGCCACTGCCGTAATATTGCAATGTACTACACAATAATGACTAACAAGGCCAATAATTTACATCAGAGCAGTTAAAAGTTTAGCAAGCTGGTATACTCCAACAGTTAAAAAAAAGTCAATGACATTCTACAAAACACACAGCAAGTTAAAAAAAAAAAAAGGAATGCCCTCTAATGCACAGCTAGGAACAAGTGAACTGAACACTGGAAAGGTACTTTCGTGGACAAAGGCTATACTGCATTTAAAGTGCAACACTTGACTATGCCACTCCCATACTGCAAAGAGAACAAACCCTTCCAAACCACCACTCAGTCCCTGCATTGCATTTAAAAACAAACAAACAAAATAAAACAAAAAAAACTCCTGAGAAAGAGTAAGGCTGGATAAGAAACCCCCTCAATTGCAACAGGCAAGTCTGATGTTTGTTCCTAGTAAGTTTGCTGTCAGAGGTCAAAACTTTTCATTATGGCATCATGGTCAAACTTGAAACTCAAGAAAGCTCTCGATGAGAAAGCAAATTTGTAATGGCCATTGCATGCCACAGAATGTCCCTCTACATGTTCTGGCAGTGGGTCTTCACTGGAGCAACACATCTCATATGCTGCATCTGCTTAAAGAGAAAAAAAAGCATGAAAAAAACCTTTGAACAGCTGTCAATAAGAGTATCAATAAAAACACAAAGCCATACCTCAAATGTATGGTTGATTAATATTCATGACAAAATCTGTATGTCTGGCCGTAACCAGAAGAAGGTAACTCAAACAGCCATATTTACAAGTCATCTGGTGGCTAGAACAAATAAAAGTCATGGCAATCTGGGGACCCTTTCAATAGCTAGTTTTACCCACAGGTGCTGTTTTGCAAGTCATTTCTTAATAGGGAGGAAGAAATATGGCCCTGTTTTCTGAGCAGTAAGTAAAGAACTGTGTGCACTCTCCAGAGTAGTCCAATATCAACTGCATCATATTACTAGCAGGACAGAAAGCCTTGAAGCAACACTCTGTTACCAGCATTGTGTTGACTCAGATGCTACACCTTTCAGTTACTTTTTACTTAGCCACCTGATATAATCTCACAGCATTAAACATTAAGGAGAAGAACTGCAAAACCAACATAAAGCAGCATGTGAAGTTGACCAAAAAAAAAAAATCCAACGCAGATTGCCTTAGAAAAATATGGCTTTATAACATTTGGTAGGTTAGCATACAAGGAAAAACCCTCCATCATTATTATTCAGGTGCCTTCAGCCTGCAATGCATGACAATGGATGAAAATTCAGACTGCACTTGCCTGTTTCAAAGTTATCTTGAAGTCTTCTTGGATTAATCCTTTTTTCACATTTCTGGTTGAAAGAATGACCATACATTACACACTTCATAAAGAAACGGTATTCTATTTCTTAGGGTTACAGGTTAAGCATCAGCTAAAAGGCATGCTGGTTATACTTGCTTTGACACACCTCCTGATGTGTGAATTATTTTACTTATAACTCAGCATGAATTCTGTCACATTACTTTATCTAGTAAGCATGCTTCAAGTCCACAAGTCTTTCAGAAGCATGCAACTCAACAAACCATTTTTAAAATGAAGGCTTTTAGGGAAAATTTTTTTAACCTGGAAAGGTCTTGCATATGATGCACATGCATAAGCCTGTTCTTCAATCAGTTTGTCCCACAAAGCAAGGGGAATGTATTTGCAAACACACTGCTACTGCCAATTAAATTACCCTGCATTAGAGACACAAACTTATAACTCTCCAGGGAAAGTTTTAGCCCCAGGTATGCTGCTCCAAGTATACAAATACAGAGAAAAGTATGGCCCTTTGCATTCTGTGCGAATTAAGAGTTCCCTGGCCTCCAAATTGTACTACAAAATTATCACGGGGACATGTAATATTTCAACTTAAAAAAAACCTGAGAATCATGAAAATGCAAATGAAACACTACAGAAGTATTTGTCAAAGTCTGCAAAGAGTCTACAAAGTAACTGTGGAGTATTAACAGTTCCACGTGTTTCCATCAAGATCCTACAGATTCCGATTACAGTTTTTTTCTATACAGCCAAAATTCTGGGCAGTCAATTCTTCGGTTCTTCATTCTACTCTCAGATCCAAATGCAATTAACCATTTCTTGCTACAGTGAGGATTTTACAGGACAAGATTTTATGGTTTCTGCACTTTTACATGAAAAACAGAGAGAAGGTAATAACCACAAGCTAGAATGGGAAGGATCTAGCTTACAGACAGTAAACAAGAAAAACTAAAGCCTGGACAAGCCAGCTGAGCTGCATGGAGAACAGGGGCTCACTGCTGCACAAGTCATAAAGACATATTAAAAAACAGAGATGGGGAGGGGGATCAAAAAGACATTAAATTAAAAAAAGAGAGATCTCAGTGAGCCCTCTCCCAGCCAGCAGAACTGTGGGGACAATTAGTTACTGCAAGGAAAAGGTGACAAACCAAGAAATTTACAAACTGATGTAGTTCTACTGTATGATTAAAAAATTAGAGAAGATTCTGGCATTCAAGTCAAGTCTGCCTCTCAACATTTTGGCCAGAGAGAAGGGAAGTAATAAGCATATGCATTACTACTTTGTATCTAATTGTTGCATAACAAAACTCCATGTTTACAATAATATATCATACATGAATAAATACGACATGTACTACACTGACTTACTGACACGCTACAGTAGGCTAATACCTGACAGGAACCTGGAAAGCTGCAGGATTGTCCCCTGAAACAGCTGACACATTTCAACTGCTAAAGTAAGACTTACTTCTAAAATGCAAACTTTGAAGTTTAGTATGCTTGTATATGTATATGCATATGCATGTATATGCATACGCATGTATATGCATACGCATGTATATGCATACGCATGTATATGCATACAAGGTAAGAAATGTTGTATTTCTAGAATTACATACCAAATATTCTGATCAAATGTGCTTTTGATAGATATGCACTCCACTTTCTTTCTTTTTTTTAGCAGGACATTGGCATGGACATTTGCTAAGCATTACTGGAACCTGTTAATGAGACAGCTGCTGCATGTTTCTTACCAAGGTATGGTTTTGCTTAACTGGTTGACTGTGGACTCCATTTGTTCGCTTCTTTTGACTGGAAGTGTCTTGATACTGTTTTCTGCCATTGCTCCTCAAGCTCTGACTCTGCTAGTAAGTCCAAAATGTAGTAAAGAGAAGAGTTTAAATGGCAGCATTGAACATTATTGCACTGACAGTTCCTACTTATTACTTAAAAGTTTCCTCCAAATAACCTCAAAACATGTAAATGGTATCTTTTGTAGACAAACTGAAGCACACTGAAATTAACCAAACATGCACTCAAGTTACAGAGTCAACAGCTGTTACTCAGTCTCTCTTGCACTATTACAGGCACTGTATTACACAATAAATTCAGTTCAGTGAGTTCCCATACACTGATGCGTATATACTAGTGGTACCCAAAATAGTTCAAAAATGGTACTGGAGGACATCAACATGGTGAGTAGTAATTGCTGTTTACACCTAAAACAACACAGCTACCACCTGATACCCACAACCTCTAAGGTCAGATAAATCTGAGAATTCCCAAGACCCCCCCCCCCCCATGTTTTTATTTTTGCATGTTATGGTGATAAAATTCAGTATTTTCAATCCAAGACATCTGTTTTAAATAGCCCAGATGCATATGTTTGCCTAAGAAACAACCTACCTTTATTTTCAAAACTTCAGACATCTCAGGATGATTATATGGCTTCTGTGGCTGTTTTGGCTTCACCCACTGTTCTCCTGAAAAGCCATCTGTAAACACCTGCTGACTACAGCGAAGTTTGGATCTAGTACAGGAAAACAGAGTTTACAACACAACTTCAAATGTATTGATAGCAGAAGAGAAACATGAAAGAATTTTCTGCTTTGTGAGAACAACTGGGAAGAGAAGTTTAAGTAACCTAGTGTGGAAACTGTAATAACGCTCACTGCATTCACCCAGCTTTGTTTTGCCTCCTGGAAAAAACCTTTTACTCTGCGTAGACAGCAGGCTAGGTCCACGTTAGCATTTGTCCTGTTGTTGTCAGTGTTGGTGCTGACCTGACTGAGATTACTGGAGTATAGCCTTCTCTTTGGGACTACAGGTTTTCAAGTTTGCTCTTACCACCTTTAGCACAGCTGAATCAAAAGCCAGCAGCACTTGTTCCCCTAGTGACCCCCACAGGCTTTACTTAGTTAGCTATTTCTGACAGTACTTTAGAGCCCTACTTTAGAGAGCCCTATTTTTCATCTGTGGCAGTGCCAAAAGCATTGAACTTGAAGCACTAAAAGTTACCTACTTGTTTTAGCTTCTGTTTTTTGGATTCCCATAGACAGGGCTCAAGAAATTATATCAGTTCTGACATGTGAAAATTTACTAAAAAAAAAAGTGTATCTTGGCATTAATTAACTTCTCATCCTATTTACAGTCCTATGAGATAGCCTGTGATTTTATTATTTTTTTTTTTTTTATTAACCTATTACTGGAACACGAATACTCAGAGAAAGAGAAAGGACAAGCAGCTTTTTATGACCAATGTTTTACAGAAAGGACATAGAGGTGTTAAACTGACCTGGTTCTTACCTAGCTTTTTCCAAGTTGGGCTTAGAGGGTGTGCTCCCTGTAGACGAAAACCCATTGTCGCTATCTGAGGAATCTCCATTCCTTCGGGAAATCCATTCCCTCAACGGCCTGTGAGCAAGGACAAGTGCAAGAAGATCTACTTACTAAAACAAATCTAAAGAAATTAAGTTGTCTGAAAGGCACTGGCCTTTCAGAGGCTAGCATTTCCCTCATCTCAAACATACCTGATAAAGGGAATTGCCATAAAAAATTTGTTAGGTGCCAAACCCAGCTTGGACTTCGGGGTCATGTCATTTCTGTGGCATGGCAATTTGTCAATGGAAAACCACTCAATATTCTACAAAAACAAGAAATAAAATCAAAATACCCACTACTATAGCTTTACAGAATGAATTAATCAACCACAATTATTTTGCTTAATCAAAAAATTACAATGGAAGACTTTAACAGACCACAACAGGGTTTTTCTGTTAAGTTAAAGGTTAAGTTAACAGTGCGGTTGTTCTTCTGACTACAGCTACAGAGTAATAGACGGTACAGCACATACCCACGGCAAGATATGGCACCTAAAATATAAAAGGTATTATCTAGCAACTAAATTCTGAATAAGCTTTTCAAAAACAAACCAAGCAAAGGGAATGCCATAAATAAAGCTTTACATTAACTTTCAAAGCTATTGCTTCTTGCTATTTTTATTTAGAATGCCATCAAAACTAGACCACCACTACTAGTTCAAAAAGCACCAGAAAGAAGGGGACTTAGTTTGCAGAGTAAGTTTCCATTTTTGTTATAAAAGAAAAAAACATGGGTAAAGGACAGGACTTGTTTTCTAATTTATGCATTATACTTTGCAGAGTGGGGAACAAAATCAGGAATTCTGAATACAGACAGTGTAGAAGACTCCACATGAGCTTTTCTATTGCAGAACCTAGCCCCAAACCCCCACGTCCAAATAAGATGTGTATTATGGGAAGAAGTTACAAACTGAACAGGTTTTCAATATAATTCTACAGGGAATACAAAAATGGCATGCCCGATTGTATTAGATCAGATGAAGATGGTGCTTCAGCAGGGAGACAAAAATCTGTCATCGTAAGAACTCATCACCCCCACACAGATGGTCACTGCTATATAAAGGGGGGTATTTACTGTACATTTTAAAAAACCTCAGAGCTCACCAACTTTCACTTCATATTTTGAAAAACAGGTTTCTAATGCAAGAACTTAAGAGACTCCTGTCTAGTCAAGTACAACTACCTTTTCCTATTTAGAAAGCCAGAAGCCCTGTTCAGTGGCACCATCTGCATGAAAATATGGGGGTAGCTGTTTTAAACTGAATTACTATACAAGAAATTCAAACTTCATAGATTATGGATATCAGGATCAAAGTTTCCAACAAGTCTGCTACCCACGTCTTTGCTTCTGCCTTTCACAATAGCTTTTAAAAGCCTAATGGTACACAAAGCATCTAAAATAGTTCCTGTTTTGTGTCCCCTTCCCAACCTCCTCCTTAAAACACACTTTTCTCTAAGTCTGGATGGTATTAGCCATGGAAGAGAGAACACAATCCTTAGTTTCTCCTTCTGATACACAGGCTTTTGTATATCAGAATAATTACATCTTCAGAAGAACGTATGGTTATATGCAGCTATAACTAGGAATATGATTAACACATACACCACCTAAAAGAAAAGAAGGGGAGAACTAATAGTTTGACAGCATGTTCCAATGATATTTTCATGATGAATGGAGACATCAGGCAGATTATAAAGAATCAGTCTTTGTAGTAGGGTTGCAAGAAGTTGACAAGACCCTACAGTGCAGAAATGCCATTTGTACCTAGTATTTATCATGCTTGGCAGTTTCATTATTTTACGGACCATCAGCTTTAAAAATCAAGCTTCCCAACAAGGTACCCACAGATTCAAACAAGATAACACATACCCGGATTTCCCTTCTAGTTTTGGGGTTGAACTTTGTGTTCTTGGGAACACCTGGAATGATGTACAGCCGTGCTAATTGATCATTAATTCGCAGCTCAATGTATTCTTCTTTGCAGATATAATCTTTTATGTCAAACCCAGTTTCTTCAAACACCTGAGAAGCATATGATGAAATCAGTGTGTGTATTCAGATTTATCCATTCAGAACTTATCATCACAAGGGACACAATGACTAGTTTTCAGATCTATTCATAAAAACAGGCCACTGCTGGGAAAAACAAGCCTTTACACATAGATATATGCCCAATAATAGAAAAAGTATCTAAGACCCTATATGCTTTACATTTCTCTAAGACACATAGACACATAATAAAAGTTGAAAGAACTCCATTACACCTTCATGTAGCAATTTATTAATATGCATGGAGAGTTGCTAGCTGCTCCTCCATGCAGCTAAATGCATGGAATTCTTATTCACAGCAAAAACTACTATTTGGGGAGTAAAGACATCTCCAAATTCTAGCAAGGTTTTCTTGCACCACAATTTTTCTTCTCTTTCAACAACCCTTCTACTTCATGAACGTTCCACACCTAATACACATAATCATTTTTACATTCATAACAAAATCCAGCAATAGGGTAGCAAAACTTTTACTACAAAACCCAAACTGCATATTCTTGCTGGCAAACAAACTTAAAATTGCATTGTCAGCCACTCTAAAGAAAAAAATAGGACTGTTATACCTGCTGGAGATTACTAGAGAGACAATTACACTTTAAAAGAACATTTTCTTTGCATATTTTACCATCTTGCAGTGAAGAATCATAGATTCACAGAATGGTTCGGGTTGCAATGGACTTTCAAAGATCATCTAGTCCAACCCTGGGCCACGGGCAGGGACATCTTTCACTAGATCAGGTTGTTCAAAGCCTTACTTCAAAATACTTATTTTTGATAACATTCTCAAATATAGTAGGTTTATAATGGAAAAATATTCACGTCAAACCCATCTAATAGCTTAAATCAGATCATGCCTCTAAGCTTGCTAAGTAAATACTCATTTTTAGGAAGTTCCTAGTCCTCAAAATCTTCATAGGAAATACAAGTACTCAGAAAACATGCAGGATTGATACCACAGTCCAAAATATTTCTGCCCAGACAGTGGAACATGCATGTGAACAATCACTCCTAGAACTGGATATTAACCCCAGGACTATTAAGCCCCACTGTCAATAGTCCAAAGGTAGAAGTCCTCTGGTATTTTTTTTAAAGACCAGATTTAGAATTAAAAAGGACAGGATCTTCAGTAAAACCTCTTCAGCCCCTATCTCCTGTGGGTACATATAATGAAAAATAAACCAAATAACTGTATATAAAATAATAATAGCAGCAAATACTCGAAATAAGTTACACAAAATACCAATGTATATATATTGGTATCAGCAAAATGATTTTAAGTTCCATTTTTGAAAATGCAGAGGAAATTAATATGAATAACAAACGAAAAACAAATACGAAAAACACAGAAGTGCTTAATACAAAGCAAATAATTGACCAGTTAGTCTTCAAATTAGCACATAAGACCCCTCTTTTATCAAAATAAAAAGCAAGCCATCTTCCCATCTAACTAAATTAAAGCCAGCGGAGTTTAGGGAAAAAAACCAACCAAACACACACACCCCAGAACCCCACCACACACTGTCTCAATTAAGAGAAGATATGCTTTTCCTCCTATTTACTCTTGCTACTAACATCAATGTTTCCCCTTCCTAAATGATCTTTCGAGACAATTTAAGTGAATTCATTGTAGAAACTCCTTTTACCAAGAGAACCCATTTAGTATGGTTTTGCACTCATCAACTTCTGAAATACTACTGAACTGTGTAGGTGCTGCCCAGTGAAGACCTCTTCAATTAGACCTTATACAGATGCAGTTTATGGTTTTAGTCCTGTGCTGACTCTAGTAAAATCAGTTAAAAGATGTGTGCACAGATATTACAGACATCCTGATTCCTGGCCACATATAAGCCTTTAAGAATTTACCAGTTTATCCCCAATGACAATCTACCTTGATGGAAAAAGATGATGGCAAGTGTAATCAAAAAAATCAATTCTCCAAATTAAAAACACCATCAAAAGATTTTTTTCCCTGTATAACTGTGCCACTTTAATGCTTTTGCTAGCATAACTTGAAGTAAAGAAGGCTGCATACTTCACGTCACTTCTTCCTGAAGCAGTTGCGCCTAGTTTGTCCTGTCCATTGTGCTGTGGTGCATATATTTTTATGGCCTCCCCTCCCTTCAATTCAGTCCTTTAGATCAACCCTAAAAGCACCTGACTAGTAAGAGTTTAACTGAACAAGCTGTTCATGGGGTTAGGGGAAAGAGACACGCATTCAATAATCAAGACTAGTTTATTAATTCTCTGCTCATCCTTCCCCAGCCCTTAAGATATGTAATGACAGCCCTGTCATTACATGCATCTGTAGCTCAGGTGTGTCACTCTTTGGCAAGTCATTTGATACTACATGCATAATGTTCTACACTCAGAGATCAGTAACTGCTAACATGAAGTGTATTTCATGTGTGTCCATTGAATAATAGTGCAATGTTAAGATCTAACACCGTATTTTCCTTTTCAAAGTCCTTATCAAATATATGAGTGATACAGAAAGCACCATCAGGAAATCAGAAATATGGAAGTTTTCATTTGTGCATCTTCAACATGTGTACTTAAAAAAAAAATAATCCATGATTTCTCAGATATTGATTCGGTCCAAGCATGAAGAAAACTAATGCATCTTACTACTTCCCCTCATCTTAATTTTCTCTCTCAAAATATTTGGCTGTATGATGTTACATGAACATTGAGTTTATACCAGTAATAGTCTTTTACAGGCTATTTTTAAAATGCAGCTTCGCTAGATATCTATGTCTCCAGCAGCAATAAATCCCACAAATTATTTTATTTTTCAGATTTTACTTGCCATATACATTGGTCCTTGTTCCTGCATCACTGAAAAATATAAAAGTAAAGTTCTTCATAATTTTTACATAATCTTCTACAACCTCCAACTCAACTCTTTAGCCTTTTTACATAGCCCAGTGCACATATGCTGAATTTCCATTCTTCTATCTTTTTACAGTTACGATATTAAAACAATTGAAAACATCCAATAGTGATTTTAAATTCTAGAACCACACCCTTGATTATCACTCAGAAAAGCACTAAAAGCTACGGTAGAAGAAACCTGCAAGAACAGACTATTTATTTACATGATTTCAATAGATACCTAAGCAAAATATCCTTTCATCTAACACGTATATACTGCTCTAAGCCAAATTTAATTTTTTCAGCTTAAATTTAAGGGAATCAAATACAACTTACCTCTCTAGCAGCACAGTCATGAGGAGCCTCTTCTTTATTTACTTTCCCTTTTGGAAATCCCCAACCAGACTTTGCTAAATAGCCCTGAACCAAAAGAACCTGCAAAATAAAAGGGAATGCAACGGTCACAAATGTCTTCCCTTCACTGTCCCCTCCTTCCCCAAAAGATAAGTTTAGCCTGGAGGAAGGAACCTGTTAGGTTTTCTGTGTTCTAGCAAGAACTGTGAAATTGTTTTATGGGACCATGCAACTCAGAATAAAAAAAAAACCAAACCAAAACTGAGTAGGAAAGCAAGTGGAAGTGTGTTTACTGTCTCACATATTATATTTCCATACACACTCAACAGTGTCAAGTAATTGACAGGTCTTTGTGAACCTGAAGCACTACTTTTTTTTTTTTTTCTCCAATGAAAAATGTAAACAACAAAAAGATTACATCTGCCAGCATATGCAATTCTTCCCTCTAGCCCTTCACAACTATTTCTGTACTTACATTTTCAAGTGTCTCATCAAGAATAATTGCACCATAGGTTGGCACTCCCATTTTATATTCTTTCCACTCATCTAAAACCTTTTGTACATCTTCACCTTGAGGCAGTAAAAAAGGGCAGTGACTGAAGAGTACAGCGTCATGTTAAGGAAGACAAATGTAAGCATCCACAGTTTCAAATCACACGCAGACATACAAAAGATACCCACTCAAGATTTACAATAACCACACTCGCCCTGACAAATGCTTTCAAGATATATTCTCTTGGAAGTAAAAAATATTATGAATAATCCATCACCAATCTCTAAAGGTCAGAAAGCATCAAATAATTTGGTAATTCTAATATAAGTCAATTAAAAAAAAAATAAAAAAGATGGTGCAAGGCTGCTTGTTTGAAGGAAGGTCTCCCCTAATTCCTAATTTTGAAGAAAAAGTATCCCCATAGCAGATGCATTAAACACACTTTTTTTCTTCATTTTGAAGTGACAGACAAAAATAAAGCTTCATCTCCGGCTCGAAGTATGTGGAGATAAATTTTTCCCAGAATCATTTGTCAGACTCTGGTACAGAACCTGTACTTAAGTATTACTATGCAAAAAAATTATTTTTAATGGCATCAAATTACAGAGATCTAAATCCTAATACACTTTACCAAAACCCACCATGCAGAGAAAACAGGAACGACCTTTGTAACTCTAAAACTTTGAAAGCAAATCTACAAGTCCTTAATAAAATCATTAATATATTACATATAAAAATAGTATCAAGCAACAGAAAATTATATTTTTACAGTTTATTGTTAAAATAAAAGCTGTATTATCTCAAAGTAAATCTCTGTTATCAAACAACAGAGAAGTGTATTGAATACTGAAACCATAGATAATATTATCGTGAAAGCTAGAAGCAATACTCCAATCCCACATCAAGAACACATGAAAAAAAGGTTAAAACTAAAACACTTGCTGGATGAAAGTCATGAGTTTTTCTCCAGCAAGGACTAGATAGTGTACATTCCAGCAGCTCTTGTAAGCAATAAAAAAAGCAGAGGCCAACTGTATGAATTCAGTAAAAATGCATCCTCTCCACTACCAACAGAACTGTTTCTAGGAGTAACTCTCAGTACTTTAAACAAATACATACCACTGCCCGTGGGGGAACACATACCACCTTCAGCTACATTGACAATTATGTCACTATTTACTTGGGAAGTGGTAAAATTAAGGAGACAGAACACCATGTAGAGCTCCCAACAGCTCACCTCTGAAACCCATGTGGTCTGCCAAAGTGCAACCATGAGGAAAAATCCTCAAAGATAGAAATTACCTGTTTCTCATAGTTGTTTAGCAGTCTGAGAAGCATTATGGAAGCAACAAACTGATAAAAATCACATACCTAGAAGTACTTCTAATCACTAGCACATGGACTCATATTTTCCTGCTGCAAGTACGAAATTTCATTAATAATATTCAGTTTGCACTTTATCCACTGAGACAGAAAACAATCACAGTAATAAAAAGGATATCAGCCTTAGCAAAGTCTCTTATCCCACACTGAGGTAATCCTGGTGTGTTTTGCATGTAGAAATCCAAGTAAAACCAATGGGCAAGTTCAATCTGAAAACACACTCTGATTGCATTGTCTCTCTCTTCACTCGGAATGTGCAAAATAAATCGACTGCCAGGAAAGAAAGAAGAGAAAGATTAGCCAAATCTATCGATTTAAATAAATCTAACAACAAAAATGCATTGCAACAGCGGAATTCCTGGTCCATTAGCACAGAGCAACAGAACACCAGACCTTCCTGGTGCTCTGGACAGCAAAAGGTTTTCACATCAAAGTAAAATACAACTTTTAAAGTCATGAAGGAGAATGGATCACGATATTTTTTCATAAAAGTCAATTACAATAAACAAAGTAAATTGACTGTTGTGAAAACAGGGAGGGAGAGGACATCCTACATAAATGGCTATATTACAAGAATGAAAGCATTTTACATGTCCAGTAAAGAACATCTGCAACCTCTGATAACAGATGTCAATGCATGTTTTTCTGAACACAAGCTAATGCAGCTATGTATTTTCATTTAAAACCACAGTAAAGTATCAATTTATGTAGATATAAAAATTCAATACTACCCTATTAATTTTCTCAGTCTGAAATAGAACAAGGACATACAGAACATGCTTTGTTTTTCAAGGCTACTTTATGCTTTAGCTCAGATACTGGCCCACAAATAGAGAATCACAGAGATGTAAGTGTACGTAGCACCATGTGATAACTTACTTTACTTAAGCAGAAGCAGCTTGACTTATTCAGTTGTAAGATCAAGAACAACAGAATTAACTTTTTAGAACTTTAAGGTCATCCACCGCACTGAATTTACACCATTTGACAGAGATCTTTTATATTCATCTCCTGAGTACCACCAGCTAAATTCCCAAAGCGCGTATCATTGCCAGAACCAGAAATACTTAAGACATCTTTACGCAGAATTTGACAAATATAAATTGTTAAGGGATGTCAAAAGTGGTTGCCTCTCCCAGCCACTCTGGACAAGGACTGCCTCCTGCCAGCCGTTGAGCCCAGCCCAGGGTCTCTGCCCAGGCTGAAGGACACTACTGCTGCTTTCCCTGTGGCAGGTTCAACCAGCAGCAAAGCCCAGCATATGTATCCCAGGGACGCACAAACAGGACACTAACGTGGCTGGTCATGCAGGCTTCAACAGTACCTACATACAGGACTCACACAAAACACAAGCACAGAGATCCAAGTCCCCTTATCTTCTTTGGCTGGCAGAGGCAGAAGGTCACTAGTACAGGCACACACTTGACACTCTCCAGGTTCACAAGCACACACGCATCCACAGGTCCCTCAAGTACCAGCACAGTTCCCTCTGTCCACCCAAGACCCCTGCCCAGATCCCAGGCTCTCATACCCACCACACAGGTCCCTGCCTCACCGACTGGTCCAGCTTGAAGTTTCTAGTGAGCACACATGTACAACAGGTTTGGGGAAGGTAAGACACCTCCCACCAACCCAGCAGCTGGCACCAGGCACACGGGTCCTGCTCCAGCCACCAGTGCTCTGCCCCTCACCCACTTCACTCACACAGTTCCCCTGCAGCAGCTAGTTTTCGGGACACTCACCATTCTCACCTGTCCTGGTTTCGGCTGGGATAGAGTTAATTTTCTTCCTAGTAGCTGGCAGAGTGCTGTGTTTTGGATTTAGTACTAGAAGAATGTTGAGAACACACTGATGGTTTAGTTGTTTCTAAATAGCGCCTAGACCAGTCAAGGACTTTTCAGCTTCCCCTGCTCTGCCAAGGGCACAAGAAGGTGGCAGGACAACTGACCTCACCCCTCCCAGCCAGTGTGTGGGATCCCCTCCTAGTTTACAGCCTCACCAGATGGAAAGGCCAGGCTGATCTTCCTGGTAGTGGTGTCTGTGGTTTCCTGATAGCCCACCGACTAGTGTGACTGGCACGTTTGTTTCTTGTCATTGCCTCCACTTTTGTTGTCTTAGGTCTGTGTCTGTACATTTTTGGTTCCCATTTCGCCCTTCTTCCCTTAGTTTCCCAGGAGCAGGTCCCTGCTCAGACAAACTTGCTGGAATGAACATTCCCACACCTCCACGTACCCGCGTCAATCAGTGGCCAAGTTTGGTTCTCATTGCGGCCTCCCTTATTGCTCCTCCCTAAGGTTGTGTCCCTGTACTTTTTGTGTATGGCTTTGTCCCTTCTTATTATGCTGTTTTCACATTGAAAAAGGTGCTTGACCAGATACCCTTAAAGAAGCAGACACTCTCCCTTACATAAATAACCTTATTCACTTCCACAATAGTTTCCTACTTGCCAATCGAAAATTGGCAATACTACCCCCCCAACAGCTCCTTTCTTTTTGAAGGTTCTATTACTGCTGAAAATAGCCCTTACTTAAAGCTGCCATAGAGTAATGGGAAAAAATAATTCTGTTTTATTTTATAACTAGTTGATGATGTTTTCTTGCCCCAGCACTGCAACTGAACATAAATCTGAAGATACAATATGTCAATGCAGTATCAAAGAGCAGTAAGAACATGACAGCATTAGGGTTAGGGAGGGAGCAAAGCCAATTAGAACACTACTTGCTAATCAAAAACTTAACTCCTAAGTTACTTAGAGTGACTGAAGTGCTAACAACAGGCACCTCTAGGGTGCACTAGGTGCAGGTGCCCAGGCGCTGGCGGCAGGGCATGGAGGGTGGCCTTGGTTGTGAAGAGGTCGGGGCTGCCCGTGCCAGACACAGCTGGCTCCATTGGACCCACCACAGGGCACAGCTGACAGCAGCAGCCAAGACGGTGGCACCTCTGGGAAAGCATGTTTAAGAAAGGACAAAAATGCCAGACAGGCAGAAGAAGAGAGAAATAGTGTGAAACAGCACCGCAAACAGCAAGGTCAGAGAAGGAGGAGGGAGAGGAGGTGCTCCTTAGCAGAGCAGATGTCCACACAACAGTGAGTGGAGGATCCCATGCCAGAGCAGAAGGGTATTTCCTGAAGGAACTTTAGCAAAGCATGAGGAGGAAGAAGCAGCAGAGACCAAGTGTGATGGACTGACCACGACCCCCATTCCCCATCCCCCTGCGCTGCTCAGGGGAGAGGAGGTAGAGGGGTCAGGAACGAAGGGGTGAAGTTGAACCTGGGAAAAATGGGGATGTAGGG